ACAGGCACAGGAAAGTCCCTTCCCCATTTCTCAAAGGGCGCCTCAATAGAATATCTCAAATCGAGCTCTATCTCCTCATCCGGCTCAAGTGTCATCTCCCATCTAACCTCTCCATCACGGCCCAGTTCCGCAGTCTTCTTTCCCGGCTTTCCCGGCTCCGTGAGATCCACCTTATCACCCGGAAATCCCAAGCCCTCTGGCGTCAGAATCTCAACATCAAAATGATCGCCCACATAAAACGGCACCTGATCCAATACCAAGACGTTGACTACATGGTCTCTTGTATTCTTGATCTTGCATGACGCTTTGAAATATGTGATAGTTAGTTCCAAGAATTCGTCGATTTTACTAAGTGTTATCCCCGGTTCCTTATAGACCACCTTGACGAACTTGTCCACCCCAAGGTTGAGTTCAAAGAATTCATTGCGCACGCAGCTTGGGACGTTGGTCTTGCCAAAACATGTGCCGTCAACGGTTAAGTTCACTTCACCTGATCGCATATTCACAGGTGAAGTATTCTGTATCTTGGCACGAAGAAACGCTGCGGCATGCCTCTTGGGCACTATCACGTGGGTGAATGAAGCTTGGAGGTCTAGCTCAGCTATTTCATAGCGGCGGGGCGCAGATGAGGGCTTGATGACACGCCGGCCAGGTAGTTCATACGATACACTCAGGCCATGGCCCTGGCTGATCGACTCGGGCACCTTGCTATCAGGCGGATAAAAGTCATGGTTCATCGAGGCCCCCAGCCCTTCCTCTAGGTTATCGGCTGTAAATGCCAGAGAAAAATTTTCCAACTCAGGAAAGCCAGGGGAGGGGAATGTCGGTTCTGATACCCCCAGTATTGGTATAGAAGGGGCCACAGACGACTTGGATTTAGTCAGCATGACTGCCAGATCCCATGGTGTCAATGATGGGATGGCTTGCCCCGGAGGCGATGTGTGCGCTTGCGGGGCCGACAGGGTTACCTGGGCATCTCGCCAGGTTTCGGAAGTCATGTTAGTGAACAGGGCACAGAGCCTGATCTTGACCTTTGAGAAAAGCGTATTGATGTTGAGGTCGTGAAGCTTGAGTTCTGACTTCGCCGGAAGCGTATAGATCAATTGCAACATCACTTCATTGCTCTGAGCCTTTTTTCCCGCTCGGTTCTGCTCATCACCAGTTAGAGTGCTACAGCTCAACGCAGACACAGGAGCAGTCATCTGCCCTTCCAGATGCACATCTACCTGGCAGAAATGGTCTGAGACCGACTTATCCGCAGCAGGTTTCTGATCCCATTCTTCCAACAAATTCGGATCCTCCCCTCCATAGAGCGCTGGTCCGTACTCCACTTGATGAGGATATTGTGCACTAGCTCCACCATAACCCATAGGCTGCCTCTCTCGATTTAGAGAATCGTTCCCAGGGTAGGCTTTAAAGATGCCGCATCCGGCATATAGTCCTTCAGAAGGGCGGAAGAGGGTGTCTTTCCTATTATCCAGGTCTCTGACTGGGTCAAAGACTTTTCTGTCAGAGGATGATTTGCAGGTGGACGAGTATCGGAGAACGTTTGCATGCTGGATGTCTATTACTTTGGCAGCGCCGAGACTTCCAACACGGATGGAAACGGGACCGACCTGGTGGTCGATCTTGTTGATGGTGATCGCGAAAGCACCGGGCTGTTAGCGGCTGTGAGATAATAATCTTTAGATATGATATACGGTTGCTAGGGGATCTGTACCTGGACACGGACAGGAAACTCGCGCGTGATGGTTGCCAGAGTAGGATGAAAGGCAACGGACTTTGTGGGAAGGGCCTCGACTGAGAATTCTTGGTGAGCAGAACCTTCCATGTTGATTACTTGCAAGATAGATAGATAATAAAGTTTGAGGAAGAAGATGAGGGTGGGAATGAAAAAAGACAAAGCAGCGGATGCTTCGACGAGGGCTGAATGATTTGACCAAGATATATGTCTTTATATCCTGCATGTGATCACCGCCACGGGGAGGAATATCCCTTTGTAGTTCTGAAAGTGTTGCTTTTCACTTGACAAGCCATTAATCTCGAAACGCCACAAGGTGAGCTGGGGTGAATGTCGGATTTTAGTCCTCACTGTCAGTTCACGATCTAATTGTGTGGAAATAACCTGGTAGGCATACAGTTGTCAGAGTAGACTTCCAAGTTTGGTAATAGGAAGGTTTCTCGTGAAGTTGCATCTTGATTATGGATGGGATCTTTCCATGTTAGATGATATCCCGTCCAGCAACATCTGCAATATCACTGAATGTCCCTTGTCATTAACGGATAACGCCAGCATAGCGCACTGTCGCCTTCACTTGCTCTGTTACGTGGCAGGTATACAGCTGAACATCTGTTCAGTACTGATAGGATGGAGATTGTTTGGCGCCATCCCTTATCATTAGAGTGACTGCGGTGTGTTATATACCAGCAATGCATAGTTGTGTTATGGAGTCACTTGGTGCAAGGTAATGGTATCCCGAGACTAGAGTACTTTCACCACATAACTGCAATGAAGCAGAAGATCACAAAACCGAGAAATTCGCAGCTAGACTATGTTGAACAGAACAACGGCTGAGCAGTAATTAGAGGATAATCCAATTTGTATTAAACTTCACAAGAACCCCACGAGCGAATTATAGACGTATAGTACTCAACATCCTGGGCTATTCACAAGGAGAGACATTGAAACTATCAACAGGTTCAAGGAAGCCGCAAAACAACAACACAGCAACAACAGCAACAGCAAATTAATCACACAAGATTATGACCCGGTGCGCCCCGAAGCCATCAGCAACTGTATGTACAGCGCGGAACCTGGATTCGACTCGAGCTAGAGATCACCACCATTAGTATGGAGCAGTTCATATCAAGACATGAGGCGCATACATACCAGTCGATGCTTACTGCTGAGACTTGCCCTGCTCCTTCTCCTTCTCCTCACCACCCTCCTTGCCCCAGTTCTTGCCCGTCTTGTGATCGGTAGTCTCGCCGAAGCTCTTGCTGAAGGATGCGGACTCGTTGTCATGGACATTCTTGTAGTCTTCCTCACCAGCGGAACCGCCCTCTTTGCCCCACTTCTTGCCAGCCTCCTTGGAGTACTCGTTTGACTTGACAGGAACAGGCTGGGGCTTGTGCCAGTGCTCCTGGGGCTTCTCAACGGGGACGCGGACTGTCTCGATGGCAACGGCCTCGGGCTTGTCTTCCCAGCCACCACCACGCTTGTGGATGTCCCCGCTACCATGAACATGGTCGTTGCCTGATAGATATTAGTATTGGGTAAATAAGGAAAACAGGAATAGATGGACTATGTCACATACCAATAGCAGGAGCGGCGATGGTGAGGCCAGCAAGGGCAACGAGAGAGAGAACAGCGGAGGCCTTCATTTTGAGTGATTGGTTGTTTGAAGCGTGAGCTTGTTGGTTGAAGGTTTGTTTGTGAAGTGAGGAGCTGTGAGGAGAGAAGCTTGATTGATGCTGATGATGAGAAGAAGTCGAGTTGGGGAGGATTCAAGGCCGTCTTTATACCTTTTCGCGAGTCCCTTCGGGTCTCTAGATACGTACCTAGAATAGCGACATGGCATATCCAACCTGTCACCGAATATCACAGACACTGACACATCCACGACTCCGAACAATAGTTGTCGCCATATATGCGAATTAGTGTCAATAATTGGATTGCATGCGCCACGGCTGCAGGGTCCCGAACGGTCAACCCCGGATTCTGTTCGTTGGATCGGATATGTACTTCGTGGCGTTGATATGTCATTTCGGCCCGGGGTTTGGCTGCCTATATTGGCAAAAGTGGCAGTATTCCAGTTGGTTGGGATTCCATATTTAGGTTTACCGATCGAGATTCCGAAGCAAGGGATGAAACTGTGGCCCTCGCCGCCTTCAAGCCAAACACCAGTTCGCGCAATATGAAAGGTGTAGATTTGGTGGCTGAAACTGTGTTGTTTCTCCTGACGATCAATGACTGTCTGGTTCGGGAATAGAAAACTATAGAAGTTTGACACGTTGGACTTTGCCACTATGGCATTCTTGTGAAGGCAGAAGAGCTCTCAATGAGATGTATGCGCGTAGTGAGTAGCATAACGTATTTCCGGTAGAGGCAGCAAATGATTTCCCGCAATAACTATGTGCAAACTGCATCAGGAGAAATACATTTTCGGTGACCGAGTCTTGCCAAACAGAGATGTCCGACCTGATTTCTCAACTTTCACTTAGCCAAGTAGGAATATAGGGCAATCTTTCTGCATTAGGCAAGTTCCCTTGACTATTGCGTGAAAGCCCGGAGGCGAGTATGCAAGTGATCTCCAATCGCTTACATTTTGGAAATGGTTACCTGCACATAGTGACCTGTAGTACTACTAGTTATGTGCTGAATGTGGCTGGCACTGTGTGACATACCAATGTAGTCTAGCAGAGTTGATCCAAAAAAATGTAATGAATTTTATTGTAATAATTAGATTAAAGGCAACAATTATTGCAAGTGTTTCAATTGTGTAAGTTGTCGGAATAACTACCCACTTTACTCGATAAGACATGATCCCGATATAGGTATTAAACACATGAAGATATAACGGATATTTATGTAGAACCAATTGAAGGAGAATTATCGACAACATTTGTTGTGAAGAAAATCGGAAGAAATCACTTCAATACAATGAACAGATGATAGTGGCGCAGCACAGGGGACAAACAACAAACATCGCTGGGATGAAATGCAACATCATGAACCAAAGATATAAACATTAAATATTACTATCACTTATAATATATTTAACCGACCCGAGAGTGAACCCATAATCTCTATGCTCCGAAATATTATCCGTATTCCCAGTACCTAGTTCCCAATTCCCTTCCGATAGGCGATCCCACAAGTTTTGCTCGTAAAGGCCGTCAGAATAAATTCGAACTTTTGCTTCTGTTACCAAGACATTAGTATAGACTATTATAGCGAAGGAGTCTGGATGTACATACCAAGAATAACTGCTGAGACATTACTGCTGCTCCGTAGTCTGACTTTCGTAGGACTCATGAGTGTCGTAAGAATGAGATTCATGCTGGTTGACCGGGACGTGATTCACGGGGTGTGCAGGTGGCTTGGGAGCCTTGGGCTTGTAAACTTCAGGCTTGAAGTCTACAGACTGGTGGATCTCAGGCTTGGAGCTCTCAGACTGATAGCCCTTAGACTTGATATCATCGGTCTTGTACTCCTCGGACTGGTAGGCTTCAGACTTGTAGTTCTCCTTGGGAGCCTTGGGCTCTTGGTAGTCATGCTCGGGGACGTGAATCGTCGGGGATTCAGGCTCAGAATACTCAGGCACGACGGGCTCTGAGGGAGAAGAGCCAAATGCTCGCGGGTAAAAGACCTCGGAGCGTCCAATCTTGTGGTTATTGTCACTGAGCTGGTATTTTTGCTCTTCAGCGCTGAGGCGATTGTTTTGGTTTTGGTTTCGGTTGTTCTGGTTCTGGTTGTTATTGTTGTTGTTCTGAGGCTGGTTCTGGCGCTGAGGGTTGGCGTCTAGAAAATGTCAGTTTCTGCATATCATGGTCGAGCTTGGAAAGACATACAACTCGTAGGTGCCGCGGCGGCCATAGTGGCGGCGAAGATACAGAGAACGGCGGAAAGCTTCATGATGGCGGCGAGTGAGAGAATTGCCTGTGCTGCTTGGTCTTGATCTGTTTGATGAAGTTTTGTGCTGTAGTGATAGCAGAAAGGCTGGGGACACTGGTCCTTTTATTGCTCGCAGAGTCACTGCTGAATAATGGTGGTTAGTCTAGCTATGAAAGTGACACCTGAGATATGAGGAATAATCGACAAAGACAGTGTTCAATGTGTACTCAATTATTCACACCCTGTACTACTTTTGCCTACGATTTGTGAAACGTCAGAGTGAGATCTATGCTATGTTGGGGTAACGGCAGCTGTCAATTGACAGCTCGTTCAAATGATCAACCGCTATTGGGCGTTATGATATCATTTGGGACAGCTACTGCCTATTATGGCTCTGATCTTCAATAGTGTTCCTTCCAGAACGATTATTTATATAGACCGCTTCTCATCATCTCCCTTCTTCGTCCATCACTACTTCGTATCATCGATCCCGTTCCCCTGTCACACTGATAAGTCTATCCCTATTCAGTTCACCACCACACTAACCACCAAAATAGTATACCGAAGACCAACAGAACATCGCACATTCGATCCAGCCCGCAACTACTACCGCAAATTCTTTCTCAAGAAGTCTGCCTCGTACATTCCAGCGCCCCCTTGAGGCAACTGATACGGATATCTCGGTTCCGTCTTCCACCTCACATATCCGAGTCTTTCATACCACAGCACCGCCGGAAACCCCGGTACTGCGTTCATTGATTCAAGGAATGCTCGCTTCTCCTCATTTTCAATGTACTCTTTGCTCAGTGCATTGACAGTAACAGTCTGACACCGCGGAACGTTCACCGCCATTTCCTCTACCAACTGCATTGCTCGACGACCAACACCACCAGCACGGTACTCTGGCAAAATAAAGAACGATTGAATAGTCAAGACAGAGTGGTCGGCCTGCGCAAGCCCCGGATCAGGCGGAGATGCGTATGCATCGAGCGAGATGTGACCAGCATGGATGGGTTCATCACCACTCTTGCCGGGAAGGATGATCCAGAAGAATGTTTTCAAGTCGGCGTCTTGTTTCTCACGCCAGGCGAGAATGCTCTCGTCGCTGTAGTCCCAACCGCAAATGTGGCGTTGGTGTTGGAGGGTAGCATATTCCGAGGGGTTGTAGAGGTTGATTGGGGTTAATGTGCAGATCATTATGTATGTTTTTGCACCGATTTTAGGTACGTATTAGATGGGATGATGGTAGTCTCATGGGCATGTAACGGCTGTTGCATCAAGAGGTCTTTTATAGGGTGTTGTGCTAGTGAGTCACGCTAGTAGTCTACCCGATAGTTCGGTGGTATCTGATTGGAAGATGAGGTGATATTCGGCCGGTTGTGCGGGGAACCAAAGACCATGAGATTCCATCCCTCGAGAAGGGTCGGAGTAAGCTGATGATGGTATCACATGCTCCCAAGACGGAGGCTGATGTCGTATTATTCCCTCCTCCGTGATGCAAGTCCGGGGCTTCTTGGCCGACAAACGGAGGGGATTTACAAGAACGCTAACGGAGAGCAGATCTCATGAGCAACAATCTTCTGAAAAAAATCTACTTATGGGACACAGAAAATGGAAAGCGTCAATTGTTCAGAAAAGTGCCAGAATAGGCCTCGTGGCAGCGCAGGAACGACATGGCTTAGTGCCACGGACACTAGCGACCGTCTGGAGAACATGCATGCGCCAGCAGCTCTGCCGAACCTGCGAATGGCTGGTTTGAAACCCAGTGGAGAACTGTCACCAGGAGGGCGTCCAGTGAGCGTGGTGCCCTCCTGCAAGTATTCCTCGCCCTGACGCCCGCCAGACATGACGCTGACGAGAAGCAAAGAGCATGAAACTACAGGAAAAAACAGAGCTCTGAACCATCGTTCGGGGAAAATCATTTCATGCAAACGAATCTCACCACAACTCGAACACGCTAAAACCTGATCAAACCTTCGATTTCACTCCATTCTCCCCAATCGCCTCCCTCATCACCCCCTCCGGGGCATCCAACTTCGTCCACAAGCGATATTGCTCAAAGCCCTGCCTCAACAACACCTCCAATCCATCGCGGACCACCCACCCACGCCTCTCCGCAACCTTCATCAGGGGAGTAACTTTCGGCTTATACGCCATCTCGACACACAACCCCGTCTTCGATTCCTGAAACAGCCCTTCAAAATCCTCCTCGTTCTTAACATCCCCAGGAATAGTCCCAATAACCACATCCACAGGTCCAATGCCATCCACATCCCCAACAGCCCTCATCTCAACGTCATTACCCCCACACCTCAGAGCATCAAAATCCCCAACAATATCCTCTGCCTTCCCGACAGTCCGATTCCAAATAATAATCGTCGAGAACTCAGCCTGTAAGAGCGCATACACGGCTGCTCTCGCGGCACCCCCTGCCCCAATGACGAGGCCTACTTTGCCGGTCCCTTTACCGGAATGTATGCCTTGCTGGGATAAGTAGTCGATAATGAGGGTGTAGAGACCGGACCAGTCTGTGTTGTCGCCTGTTACCTTAACTGCTCCGTTCCCGTTCGGAGATCGGGTAGTAAGTAGGGTGTTGATGGCTCCAATGGCACGCGCTGAATCGCTCACTTGAGTGCAGTGTTCAAAAGCGGCGAGCTTGTGAGGCATGGTAATGCTGGCACCGCCAAAGGAGGGGGAGGTGATGAGCTGGGATACTTCTGATAAGGAAGTGCATTCTGCGACGGTGTAGGTGTGTGGGAGGCGGTGGTGGGTGAAGGCGGCGTTGTGGATTGTCGGGGATAAGGAGGCGCGGATGTTGGGGCCGCCAAAGACGTGGAAGACGAGGGGCTGCGTCATTTTCAGTGTAATAATAAGACAAATTCAAAGACGAACAATGAGACTGAATTTGGTTAGGGTACTGTATGTGGTTATGATGGTTGATATAGGGCTCGGTGGTGGAGTGGTGGTGGAGTGTCGGGTAGGATCATAGCCTAGGGTATGTGTTTATCATCGGGAGGGAGCCGAAGTATGGGGTTGTTGGGTGGGTGTATGTTTATCCTGGAGAAGAAGCTAGTAGAAGTTGCCACAGCTATGGATTCATAGAATGCGTATATGTGGGTTTGTATTCTACTCTGAGATAGCATTGCTCTTAAGAGGGCTGTTGGGCATCTCGCCTTCCTATTCCAGTACACTGGAAATAACACCTAGCCCTACTCAATAGCACTAAAAATTTATAAAGGCGCAACTTATATTCAAGACAACACATACACCAACATACATTTAACAAGTAATCTCTACATCAAGCCCACTCCACATTACCCCCCTCAACCCACTCCTTCGCCTGCCAATACAACAAATCATGCTTCTCACCATTAACACTCCCCGTTGCCTTCTCCCTCCTATGTCCCGGCAAATCCCTAAGAACCTTGACTCCCATAGTCTTTTCCTGCAAATACGCCAAATGCCGATACCCCACCGGATACTCCTTCAACTTCTCATGATCAATCACGGGCACGCGATCCGGCGTCACAAGCACCAACTTATCCTTCTCATACCAATGTCTCACAAACCTCGCTCTCCACTGACCCTTCAACTCCCCATCAGCAATCTTCTCCCAAAAGAAAATAAACCGACAATCACTCTCCGCATCCACTTCACACGTTCCCCCATTTACACATTCCACCTCACTGAACCGCTGCGTAATAGTGGCTTTCATCTTGGTAACAGCACGCATCCCTTCAAGATTGATATCTGTAGTGCTGCCGTGCACGCGATGCATGATGAATGCACCCTTGTCCATCCCCGCCTGCGAGGCTGTGATGAATGCATCGTGGTGCGTGAGCCCCGTCCACGTCGTGTACACGTGCGCTTCTGGGTGGAAGATTGACCGGAAGTTCTCCCATTCGCAGGCGTCGCGGTAGCACGGCCAGCCTTCGGCGAGCTCGCGTAGGAGGTACCGCTCTATTGCTAGGTGATGGGGGCCGTTGTTCCGGATGGCGTGCTGGGGGCGGGAGTTTGGGGGGAGGGTGTGGAGATCGGGCATATTGATGATGATTGATTTGTTTTAGTTTGCGTGTTCTAAGTTTGTGGGGTGTGTGCGTGTAAGAGAGAGAAAGGGGATGGTGATTGTTTAGATGTAGATGGTGGGGTTAGTTCACTTTATACTATACTCATACTAGGTCAGTAGGGCATGCATACCCCGCGGGGAAGAGCCGGGGAGAAGATGGGCTCGGCAAAGAGATACCCGTGACGGGTAGGATCATAGCCGATGGACATTCTGACTAGTATAATATCTGCAGTCAGTCATATACTCTACAGACAAGTTGTTAGAATATCCAAATCGAAACCAGATATCACGAAAAACACCATGTCCGCCACCACCACTTCCGACCCCCGGCGCTACGCCTACCTCGTCGGCATCGGGGTAACCCACTCCATCGCGCCCCCTATGCACAACTACTCCTTTAACAGCATGGGCTACCCATGGACCTTCATCGCGCAAGAATGCCCGACCGTCGAAGACGCCATGACACTCTTCCGTCAGCCCACCTTCGCCGGCGGGGTGGTAACCATGCCCTACAAGCGCACCATCATGGAGCATCTTGACGGGCTAGACGAGTACGCTGTGCGCCTCCAAGCGTGCAACAATGTCTATCGCGCAGAAGATGGCTCGCTACGTGGAACAAACACAGACTGGCGTGGGATTAAGGGGTGCTTGCTATCAGCTGATCCCGAGGAGAAAGGGAGGGGTAAGGCTGCGGTGATTGTGGGCGCTGGGGGAGCGTGTCGTGCGGCGGTGTACGCGCTATATGCGGAGTTGGGATGTACGCCTATTTATGTGGTGAATCGGGATGAGGAAGAGGTTAGGGTGTTGAGGGAGGATACGGAGAAGGAGTATGGGGAGGGGTTGAAGATGGTTCATGTTGAGAGGTTGGAGCAGGTTGCGGGTTTGTTGGAGGATGCGGCGCCCGGGTATGTCGTTGGTACAGTTCCTGATGCGGAGCCGGTGACGGCGGAGGAGAAGGAGGTGCATCGCATTGTGGAGGCATTTTTGGAGGCTCCTACTAAGGGGGTGTTGCTGGATATGTGCTTCAAGCCGAGACAGACGAGATTTTTGAAGATGGCGAGACAGCGTGGGTGGGCTACGGTGGAGGGGACAGAGGTTATTGGACATCAGATGTCGGAGCAGTATCGGCTCTGGTGCGGGGAAGAAGAGAGACAGAAGTTGTCGCTGGATGGAGCGTGGTCTGTGCTACGGAAGGCTGCAGAGGAGAGTCCGGGTATTAACTTCTAGAGGATAAGAGTAGTGTTGGTGGATTGCAGGGACAGGGATCGGATGAGGGCATTGCCGATGACCTCAGTGTGGGCCGGGCCTGACGTATGATAGAAAGCATATAAATGCACACCCAAGGTTCATGCTACGCTTTGAATATCACATACATTGTATTATCAGTTGTTTCTATTCATCATGCCCTGCAAACCTGCCATCGCGTCCATGTCCGTGGGCCGTGCCTGGGTCCATTCTCTTCCTGAGAAGCTCTCCCAAATTGCTCAGGCCGGCTTCCAAGGAGTGGAAATCTTCTACGAAGACCTGGAATACCTCGCCAAAGAAAAGGGAGAACCGACAGAAGAGAATCTCCTAGCTGCCGCCCGAGAAACCAAGGACATTTGTTATCATCACGGCCTGGAAGTGATTGGCTTACAGCCGTTCATGTTTTACGAGGGCCTGCTGGATCGAGGTGTCCATCAACAGAAAATCGCCAAACTTCACACCTGGTTCAAGATTGTCAAGATACTCGGCACCGATATCATCCAAATTCCGTCAAACTTTCAGCCCGATGGCATCTCAGGAGACCTTGATCTTATCGTCTCCGACATGATCGAGGTGGCCGATTTGGGCTTGAAGCAAGAGCCGCCAGTTCGCTTCGCATACGAGAGTCTCGCCTGGGGTACCTATGTTTCAACATGGGACACTATGTGGGAAATCATCCAGCGGGTGGATCGCCCCAATTTTGGATGTTGTCTAGATACCTTCAACATCGCCGGTCGGGTGTGGGCCGATCCCGCAAGTCCTTCGGGGAAGGTCCCTGACGCAGATGCTGTGCTGGCTCATTCGTTGAATCGCCTTGTCAAGACCATCGACGTGAAAAAGGTCTTTTATGTCCAGGTTGTTGATGCAGAAAAAATGGAGCAGCCACTGGTCCCCGGCCATCCGTTCCACGTCGACGGCCAGCCGGCACGCATGAACTGGAGCCGCAACGCGAGATTGTTCCTGTATGAACAGGACAAGGATGGCTATCTCCCTGTAGTCGAGGTAGCGCGAGTAATCCTGAAGGAGCTCGGATTCGAAGGATGGGTGTCAATGGAGTTGTTCTCCAGAACCATGGCAGATCCGGATCCGACTGTGCCACAGAGTCATTCCCAGCGAGGTATCCGGGCCTGGCAACAGTTGGCCAAGGAGTTGGATCTATGATTACGATCATGATGGCTAAGTTGATATCAACCATTGTCTGGGACATGTTGCAGCTGAGCAAGGAAGTCTGTATCTAGATTTCCTGCATAGAACCCCAAGTTCTCGGCAAAGGTGGGCTCGTTTCTGTAATGATTAGTATGAATAAACAATAGACGGAATATCGACATACCTGGTTTGTGGAATAGAAGCCACCATTTCCTCGAAGAGAGCATCAAAGTCTTCAGGCTCCTGAGCCTGTGTTTCATTTCCAGCATCCATAACACCAGAAGTATTGGGCAAGCCGGGCATTGCCATTACTTGGTCTGTTACTACCGTGTTCCCCTGGGTAAGATCAAGTCCACCGTATACAGTGCCTCCAGGCGCCAAAGGCCTCTGGTAATCGAGTCGTGGCACTGACATGTAAGGCCACTCAAGGTGATTCCCCACGGGCAACCATGTAAAACGTAGCGCCTCACTTGGAGTGCCACCCTCACCGCTTCGCTTGAGTTTCTGCATATGATTGATGAGTCGACTGCTCAGCTGCTCCATTCCCGGTCCCAACATGCTAGGAGCACTCTGTAGGCACCGGTAGGCCTGAAAGGAAAAGCAGCGAAGCAGCGGAGATGAGCCCGCCATCCCAGTAATTTCTGTATATGCATCTAGTATCTCAAGAGTAAAGCGCAAGCTAGTCAAGGCCAGCGGCTTGATGGCCGGATCGAACGTCTTGTGCTTCAGCGCGAGAGAAAATACCACGAAGGCTGTGATTAGATGTAGCGTAAGAAGAGGAGGGCTTGCAAACTCAAGACCGCGATAAGGCCGCCTGGCCGTCACAAGGTCTTGCAAGTTCCGTAGCTCGACGATGAGCTCCTGGATAGGGAGGGTCCCAGATGGATAATAGAGTATCTGAGTAAGAAATCGCATCAATTCGTGGATAAGATTGAGACTGCTTAGAGCTCGCAAGGGGCCTTTTGTGACTACACTGCCTCCCGAAGCCTTGTCCGGTCGCATCATAGACCACAGCTCCCATTCGTCCACATCGTCCTCGCTCACTAAGGCACACTGTCGCAGATCATCAAGCGAAGCACATGGAGCTTTCTCCAGGATTGCCGAAGTAAGATTGTCGATCAAGATGCATCCATGCCGGATGTGTATGTAGCGAGCGCACCTGACAGATTCCGGAAGCATTTCGAGCATCCTCGTGGCTTCGCCAACGAGTACCCACGCCAGACGCAGATGGCCCACCCCCAGGTAAAGGAGGGTGACGATCAACAGAGATTGGAGATGGCCAAGCTGCAGCCGGTCAATGTCCCTCAGGACTTGCAATCGGATGGATTGAGCAATCTGCGTTGGGTCGACCTGGCTGCCTCGACCTAGTGTATCATGCATTGCCGATGAATAGGCGACAATGGCCCATAACACTAGACGACAGGCGGCGTCTCGAGCCGAGCATGACGCATCTGGAGGGGTGTGCAGGACGCGGAGGACGTCCCGACGCTCGACAATAGGAAGCCAGCTGTGGATATGGGTAAAATAGAACTGCAGCAGCTGATCGGCATTACTCGGGATGGGTTGATTGAGGTATTCCACTGAGACAGCCTCAGATATTCTGTGCCTGTCAGGGGTTTTTTCCCGGGCAATGCCCTCTCCTTCCTCTCCTCTTCCTCCCCCTTCATCAATGTCGCATCCTCGTGATGCAGTTTCTGCATATTCTTCAAGCTCGCTACTCGACTCATCCTGTGAGTCAGGGTTCAGCACTCGATACACGTGTCTGGCTAGCCGGGACTGTCGCCCACGCTCTGCCAACTCACTCGCCGGTAGCTGCGTCTTGCACTGAGGGTCGCGCAGGAAGCGTCGCAAGACATCCTCATTCCGAGGGAACCGCTCGAGAAAAAGCCCTAGAGTTACCTCTAGACTGCGAACATATCCCGACTGCAATCCCCGGTGCCGACTGATGTTTTCATACGTGCAGGTCCTGCCAGCCGAGTGGCAGATGGCGCAGACTGGCTGGTCTCCGTCGCATTTGGATTTTCGACGCCGACACTGATCACAGGCGCGAGCGATGCGCTGGCGCTTCAAAGACCTGGATTCAGGCATATCATATGCCGTGATTAGCGGCTACTGAATTTATCCGAAGATTTCTCCCTTTCCAAGATGCATCTTCTGGTGGTGCAGTTGAGTTTCAGTCTGGATCATGTGATCGGCAAGGAATTTACGCGGTCTCACTTTGACTGTCCAGTTCGTCCGCTCACTTTGCCACAGCTGAAGCAGCCAGCAATGACTCGAGATGCTGGAATCTGAGCTTTCCTATCATAACAGGCTCAATGTATAGTTCCAGCTCCCCTTTGACACCATGCGACCGCCTCGTATCCATCCCTTGCCGGCGGTACAGTGCGGACGCCACCCTGCTGCTCGTGGGATTCGTCGGCGCCGGGAAGAAAACCCTAGGCATCATTGCATCGGTCGCGCTGCGTCGCAGGTTCATTGATTTTGATGCTGTATTTCGCCAGGAGGTGCAACTTTCTCCTCAGGAGTACATTGCGCAACACGGTCCTGCGCGATACCGAGAGCTGGAGCTCAAATTGACTCGAACATTGCTAGAGAAATGCTCTACAGGATGTGTAATAACCATCACTGGTGTGGGATGGTCAGCGAATCGCCAACAGCAGGTGCTTCTAAAGGATTTTGCACAAAATCATCCTGTGGTGTATGTCAGACGCGACAGGGCGGATCTTCAGCGGTTCATCATGACCACCAGCCCAGACAAGTTCAACCGAATCTTTCAAGCAGGCAATGAGTTTTTCCAGTCATGCTCCAGTTTCGACTTCTTCAATCACACACAAGAGAAGGTGACTGATTACGCTGGTCGCCCCCTCCCGGCGTATATCAAACTCAAGGAGGCTGAGCGAGTGTTCCTGAGGTTTTTGCATCAAATCTTCGGGCGCACTTTTCATGTGCTCTACTCTTCGGACCCGTTCTCACCGTCTCATACATATGCGCTGCAGGTGCCGTTGACCTGGTTGGAAGGCAGTCCGGACTTGGGACTATTGGAGAGTGGTACTGACGCGGTTAACCTTGTGATTGACGGGGTTGCAGTCGATTTCGATAGTGGTCCATTTATGGAAAGGATTGCTAAGCATATGGCGACAATCCGTAAACATACCCGGGTTCCAATCTCCATTGAGGTTCCTCAGCAGTTAAGTCCTAGATGCTGCGAGCTCTTGGAGATGTTTTTTCGACTGGCGCCCGATGTTGTGGCGTGTCCTGTTGACAGCCCCGATTTGAGCCGATTAAAGCTGGCCAAAGGCCACACAAAGATCATTGCCACCTGTCAGTCAAGCTCTATGACGGGAAACCAGAGCATATTTTCTGAAGTTCGCTCTCTGCTGGAAAAGACAGATGAGCTTGGCTTTGACGCTTTTCGCATTACTGCCGAGCCCAGCTTCCCTGGCGATCTCACTAACCTGACTTTACGACAACGGCTGGGTGAGATAACCGACATTCCCATAACCGCATACCATACTGGGCCACTCGGCCGAGCATCTATATGTCTAAACCCTGTTCTCTCACCAGTGATACTCCCATATTTACCAGAACGTGACATAGGAGTTACACTCGCATCAGCCCAGCAAGCACTTACATCCTGCTACCTACTCCCAAAACAAACATTCACCGTATTTGGCCAAAGAGTCCAAAACAGTCTATCACCAGCAATGCACAACGCGGCCTACAATGCCTGCGGCCTACCACACAATTACGACTTATTATGCAGCGATCGATTCTCCGACATTTACAAGCTCCTGAACAGTACCGAACACGGCGGGGTGGCCGTGACACTACCGTACAAAACAGACGTCCTCAAATTACTGGATGAAGTCAGTCCAGATGCCCAGGACATCCACGCCGTAAACACAGTGGTCATTCAGCGCATTCAGCGGACCAACCATCCGTCTTCTAAGATCTTAAAGGGATATAATACGGATTACCTCGGGATCCGCGACTGCATCAACAAACATCTCTCTCCCGCCAACGCCATCCGACATGGCACAACTGCCTTGATAATAGGCGCAGGTGGTATGGCCCGCGCAGCTATCTACGCATGCTACCAGCTGGGCGTTCGTCAGATCTGCATCTATAATCGGACTATTTTCAATGCGCAGAAACTAGCCGAGTACTATACTCGTTGGGCTGAGAAGAAGGACACCCGTTTGCAGATAGAGGTTCTGCGGTCAGGCAATGACCCCTGGCCGGCGGGGTTCCGTCAACCGACGATCATCGTGGCGTGCTTGCCTGCGCCAGCCGGTGGACAGTTACGGGCTCCTATTACGATGGAGATACCGGGGCAGTGGTTGAGGAGTACGACCGGAGGTGTTTTTATCGATGTGCGTGTGTGATATAATATACCCGGAATATTTCTAGAAGTGCTAACTGGATAGGTCGCATATGGAATGCCACAAACGAAGCTGAGAATGGCTATGAATGAACGATCGAGTATGGGCTGGGTCGTGGTTGATGGGCTGGTGGTGTTGTTGGAGCAGGGCATTGCGCAGTATGAGCTGTTTACGGGAAGACCGGCGCCGGTGCATGTTATGAGGGGGGTGTTGAGGGAGTACACTAATGCTGTTACCTAACAGGTACTGTGTGTATCTTGCTTGTTTATATGGTTCCTGTAGGTTCCTTTTACTTTTTAGCGACACTCCAGTTGATTTCAATGCGCATAAACGAATACTTGGCGTTATAACTGCCACAGACACGATCATTGATAGTGATAGTAATGTTTGACATCACTATCACCATCACATTACCATATTTCCACCATTTGAAATTTCTCTACAGCCTTCCAATACAGAAAGTACAGTTGGAAAATCTTAATCCAATCATATACCCATTTCATTCCATTCATTCATACTTTCATCCATAGAATACCCTTACATACACACACCCCCTCACCACATCCTCATTGTCCAAGGTAACAAGGTTACAACAACCCAATAACAATATCACCATACAACTGCGCATCCAAATCCAACTTGACCTTGGCGTGCAAGTTCAAGTGAATGCTGATCTTCAGGTTGGACTTCTCTTCCTTGTTGGCGGTCAAACCGGGGGCCTTCATGCCTTCGTTGGGGAGGATGGCGCTGGCGGCGCCGGCGGCTTCCTCTTCGGCGCGGTTGTTGCGGCGGTTGCCGGGTGGGGTGTTGCTGGTGGGGAGGGGAGTGTTAGTTGGGATTGGGGTGGGAGACGCAGGTTTGGGGATTGAGGTGGGTGAAGATGCTGCTGCAGGATCAGATGGAGTTGGGGGAGTAGGGGAGGGGGGTTTGGAGGGTGGTTTGGGGGTAGTTGTGGAAGAGGGATTGGTAGTGGGAGTGGAAGTAGGGCTGGAGAATCGAGGATGTTACTACGTAGGTATGCTGGGATATGGATGGATGAGGGTAGATTGGGATGGGGGAGGTGATGGGAAGGGTAAGGGAGGGAGACGTACCCTGGGGAGGAAGAGTCGGCCATTGTGTCTTGAGTGATTGGAATTGGAGGAGGTTGGTAGGTGGATTTGACTTGTTCTTGTTCTTGGTCTTTCTCCTTTGAGGTGGTAGAGGAGTGAGGAAGAGGATGAGGATGAGAATTCAAAAACGAATCCGCGAGGGAAAAGTGCGAGTAGAAGTATGTCGAGGACAGCGACTCAGACTCGGACTCCGAATACCTAGACGAAGACGAAGAATAGGAAGAAGAATAGGACGAAGAAGAAGAAAAAGAATCCATGTAAATAGCAGACAGAACTAAAGCCCCCGATCCCGCCTAAACTACTTTATAAATCACCCCATTTGCAAAGCTAAAATAACTTCCTCCATCTGCAAGTCTAGCGATTAGTTCCGACCAAGTTGCATCGACTCCACCCCATCCACCCTACTTAATGCGCCGATCTGACTTTTTTTCTCCTCTTTCTTCTGATTATTTCCGTCCTTATCCATCTCGCTTGCATTTTCTTCTCTCCGATCCTTGTCGTTCATCCTGGCTAGCTAGCTAGGCACCTACTCACACACTCACTAGCATAACTCACTTGTCAGTCAGTCAACATGGTCCTCGGCATCGCCATGATGGCCACCATGCTCCCAACCATGATCGGTCTAAACCAAGCCAGTCAACACATGCGCGATAGCGAAGATAACCGGAAAGAATCCAGTCGGAAACAACGCTGTCATTTGTTAGTGAACTGTTCGGTGAATCAGGGTACGACGGAACAGCGCGAACAGATTCATAATGCGATGGTGTATGTGGGTCCTGAGAACCGAGTAAGTTCCTTCCTCCTCTTCTACCTACCTTCTTTACACTATCTACTACCATCCTGGGTATCCCTATTGCGGGATTATGCACATCCTAGAGATGGTAGTATGTTTCTCATCCTGCACCCATCATACCACATCTACATATCCCATCTCATCCCTGTCTCCCCCATTTTCTAGCTCCAACCCTAGAAAACCCACACGTTACCCAGAATTAATCTGTACCTGCATTGAAACAACCAAAAAGATCTAACCAAAACAGCTCTACATAACCAAAAACCCCAACCCCAACACCATGACCCCCTTCAACGGGGGCTTCTTCACACACCCACAATTCCCACCCGATAACACAGCCGGCCTGGTAACCATCACAGGGGAGACCCCGCCCACACTACGCTGGGTCTTCCTGGACGTCACCACGCACGAGGTGTGCTGGGGTGGGCGGGCCGAGAGCGAGGGCCAGGTGTGTGGGCCATTTGACTGGACGAAGGACGAATCGCGGATGACGCTGGAGGGGTGGGAGGGGTGGTTGGCAGTAAGGTTTCCGGGAGTGGATGACGAGGGGGTTTGGAGGTTGTGGTTTGATCGGGAGGATAATGGGGCTGGGTTGAGGGAGATGGGGAGGGAGGTGCTAGGGTTGGAGGTTGTGTTGAGGAGGGTAGCGGCTGAATCTTGATTTTATCTGGTAATATTTTCTTTTCATTGAATTTTTTAGGTGTTAATTTTTGTGATTTATTTGGGAAGGGGGTGTTTGGTTTGTATGATAATGATTATTTCCTGGAAAATGGAGAAATGAAATGAACGGTGGAGATTTGCTAGCTGGGTGGATGAATAGTGGAAGCGGATCGGGACGCGCGCGCGAACCAGAACCTGTGCTTGGGAGGATGCGAGATCCGCTGCGGCTGGAGAGGAGTCGGTGGTTTGGACCTATAATAGTGCACAGATGGGGCAAGAGCTGAAGCTGAATCCTGCAAGCTGAGATCCACTGCCTTGGTTGCCTGCCTTGATTATGAGGATCTTCTTTCCTGTCTAGGTTTGACTGTCTATTATTTGACTTTCTACAGAGGTTGATAGTCTTTAAAAATGTTGATTTACGGTGAAGATCACATTATGTCTTCTTGACGTTTGCTGCTCGTATATACTGTGTACATCGGTGTCTATTGAATGTCTCATCGATTCATGTCTCGGTAAGATCAGCATCCCGCTCAGTCCCGGCCTGGTGGATCCCGATCTCGATCATCCCAATCAATCCAATGATATCCATCAAACCCCAAAACTCCTCCCGTCCGACCCGTGCCTGCATTGAGCTACGCTACTGTGCGCTGCGTCTGCTCTGCTCTGCTCATGCCACATCGTGGAAATCTCTCATCTCACGACCGACTCGAAGGAATACTCCCGATACTTCCTCTCGCCCTCTCACTCCGCAGGTCCAGATCCATCCCCCCATCCATATCCACATCCACATCCTCGTCCTCATCTCCCCAAAACTCCTTTAGGTCTTCCACTCGCCAGGCTGTCGCCCACCCCGTCTCGCGCTCAATTCGCGTCAAAGTCTCAATAATGGCGGTATGTTCCGAGTGATGCGACATCACTTTGCCAGCCAGCCACAGCGGCTGCAGGGCATTGGTCCAGCAGCCACTATTTCCCATCCATTAACTTTATCCTTAAACTTTAAGACATGCTGCGTAGAGCAAGTATATCATGAAGTAAGGGCCAACTTACTGGTGTGTATTCGATGCGGAAATAGCGCAGATTTGCCGCGCGTGCCACAACACCGATTTCTAGACATATTGTTAGTCTCAGTATTAGTAAGTAAGTATATCCAAGGATAAACAGATGCCCAAGTGAGAGAAATTATCCGATCCGTCAGATGTAATCATCACGATGAAACAGACAAAGAGAAATTGACTCACCGGTCGCCGTGGCAGGGATATGGTCTTTGGTTTTCGTTGCAGCAAAAGCAATGCACAGGTATGGTAGAGCTGATTTCCTGAAACTGGACCCCATAGGTCAGCACACACATCCATGCCATCTGCCTACGGATACATCCACAAATTCCTAAATAGGAAATTGAATAGGCAACATACTAGCAGCCCCGTTCCCATAGAGCACCGTCGGAAACGGTCTTTCCCCATCACCCCTCCCCATTGTCTTCCCTCCCGCTGTCAGGACAAAGATCGGCTTCATCTGACTTGGCCGGTTCTCGTACCACTGCTCCACATCATCAAACAGGCGCTGCCACCGCTGCACATACGATTCGCCCTCCCTGGGACTAGAGAGATAGTGGCATGACACGCAGGACGCTGGTAACTGGCTGCTACCGCCGAAGAGCACCCCTAATGTCTGGGCACACAGGAAGACGGTGTAATTGGCGTACGTGTCGAAGGTAGTCATGTTTGAGGCGAGGAAGAGCTGGGATGCTTCCGTGGGGGTCATGTCGCGCGGAATCCAGTGGTGGATCGGGATAATGGTCTCTTCTTCGGAGATGAGGCCTCCGCAGACGTCTGTAACAGTATGTCGTGCATTAGTCTACTACTTTCTGAGGGGATGTGTGGGGGGTGACACCAGGAACAGGGATAAAGTAGGTAGACTAGATGCAACTAACCCATTCGCGCGAAGCACCAGAATAGCGCTTGCTCCTCTTTACCCGAGAAGCCGTTGATTTCCGCGGCTTGGATAAGGTAGGCGCATCCGTCGAGGTGACGGCGCCACTCTTTGGGATTGCCTAGACCTGTCAGTGGGTGGGGACTGTCGGAGGGGAAGAGAGGGGTACATACAGCTGAGCATCTCGAGGACGCATAAAATGACGCATGACGCGATAACAGGGGTCGTCTTTTGCTCTAGCTCCGGAAGAAGTTGATGGATGGCCTCCTGGTATAAGAGAAGACTTTCTGATTGCGACTTCTTGTTCTGCTGTCGCTCTATCTGTCGTGCTGACAGAGCAAGAATGGAATATCGCAGATGTGGCGCCGACTTGGCCATCTGAGGGAAGGTCGATGCGAAGTGTCGGTGGTTGTCGAACATGTCCAGCTGCAGGATTAGTATTAGTCCGGCGGGGTGTCTGGATCACTCACCCAGAGACAGATTTCGTTCAAATAGTTCTGCCAGAGTATATTCTCGCGCTCGGCTGTCAGTTCAAAGTCCCGTCCGGGTCTGGACTGGGCTCGTCTGCTTCTCTGTATACGTGCAGTGTTCGGCGTGGGTCCGTCATATCCAAGCACTGATGCCGGGGTACTGGCGCGACTGGGGATTTCTGTCCGAGCAGTCCACAGCTGTCGATTACGCAGCGTGGTATGAAGGGCTTCGTAGGCTGAGCCCGGAACGAAAACATCATTTGTCAAATTTGCTGGATCAGAAAAGACGCTATGATCAAACAATGGCGATGTTATAGACTGGTAGACTTCAGGTCCAGGAAAGTGCCCCGTGTTGTTGGAGAGGT